AGGCGGGAATCGAACTCATGCGGAAGTGGCTTAAGCTTCTCAGTGCTGTGCTTTAACCCGCTGCGCCACCAGGGAGGGCCGCAAACGACACCATTTTTATGGCACCTTTGTAGCTAGAGGAAGCGTGGATTCCAAAGTCAAGTAATTCTCCCAAAATTGCACAACTGAGAACTTTTGGTAATTGGGGCCCAGATTCAATTCCCAGTCGGCCTGATCCTAAAGTGTCTGTCCTGTCTGACCTCCCCTCCCGGTCACTGTGAGCTTCAAGGCCCCTCTGACTCAGCCCAGGGACGCTCCCACCACCCTAGGTTTCCAACCCATCAGGAGGCAAGTGGACCCCAGACCAGTGGCCCCCACAGCACACGTGCTCCCAGAACAACTCCGACTCTAGCTGAGCAGCAAGGGCTGGGGGGATGGATTACCCAAAGACCGAAGAACTCCACGATCCCCCTTTTCCAATGAACGCCCAATCCTCTGATTTCTAGGGAGGTGCTGGAGTCAGTCAAACTCTCCCAGGCCGCCAAAGCTTGGGGGGTTAGGGGGTGTTGGGGGGGGGAAGAGGTGGGCCAGGATTCACCGGCCCACTTTGCTGTAAAAGTCCTTCTAGGTCTGGACACCCCCTCATTCTCATGCAGTGACCACTGCTGCCAACACAGCAATTATTAACACCACCATCTAAGTGCCTTTTCATTCGGGTGCACATTTATTTGAACTATGGTCTCAGTCACCTGGGATGCGTTAGGAAGATTAAATTGAGGATTCCAGTGACTCATTTGTAAATGTTTCCAGGGAATGGCAAGAAATTGGAGGGCCATTTCCCACCAAAGACTGGAGCCTGGCGAGCTGCCCAGAAGACACATCCCATCTCCTGGCTCTCTGAGCAGACTCTGCAATGCATCTTCATCAGAGTGAGATAAATCCGGAGACTCCTTTTCTCCAGGGAGAAATCCAGCCTGGGGCCAAGAGGCAGGAATGGGTGCTCAGCAATAGTGACAGGTAGCTTGCATGTACATGTTATGATTGATTTGTGTTATTATTTGCCATTATTTGTCAACTGGGAGATTTTCTATAAAACCTAGGATTTTGTCTTATATTTAAGATGTGGTCCTTCCTACCTGGAAACAATCCATGGATTTTATCAGTGACTGACCCCCACCCAAGCCCCTCTTTAGTCATTGTAAGTCTTTTTCAAATCAATACAGGGCTCAAATCTTGACTTCTTCAGCATCTCTATGCTTCTTACCTGGCTCTGGTGAATCCAGGCAGCAGTGAATCCTAACAATGCTATGTGGCCTCAAGAAAATTCCTTGGCCTTTCTGGGCCTCGGTTTCTTCTCCCACAGAGTGAGCATTGCTTACAGTCTCTTTAGTCCCCTTCAGCCAAAACTTTCAATAATCAACTTGTATGTTTTCTCAGTTTTTAATAAATGTGGATATCAGCAAATTGACTGTTCCCAGTTGGGGTGCTACTGACCCCAGCAACCAGAATCAGCTATAAAGTCCCTCGACTATGTCCCCCATGTAGATCTTCAAATTACCGAACTAGAAGGACACTTGAGGGAAATGGGCCCCACCCCTTGTTTTATATTATAGGAAAATCATAAAGTGAGTTTCCCATGGCCCAGGCAAGGGAGGGGGAACATCTCTCCCAGCACCGGCACACGGCTGCTGCCAGCAGCTACTGGTTGAACGGAGAATGAAAGACCAAGTCCCAGTCACTGTGTTCTGATTTGTAGCCCAGGGTCTATGCTGTCCCAGAAATGTGCTGTTCCAGACAGTCCTAGTGATGGCTTGGTGAACTTCAGCACTGAATCTTCTAGCAAAATTAGTTTTCATTCAGGTTCCATATCAACTAGAAACAGACAGAGCCAGGACAGAGGTGGGGATGGAAGTAGAAACACAGATGGTCCCCAGCTGTTATAAAAGGATGCAGTTTGCAACACAAATTTCATGAGGATTGTTACTCATATAAATCCTGGTTTCTGAAACTGGAGGGACAGTGTATTCTAATAGAAAGCTGGTTCTCCTGCCAGGACTGCATGAACATGGGCACTAGGAAGAGTCAAGACTGTCCAGGCCCCTTGACGTGAGCAACACTGGAATTGTAGACAGCCGGTGGGTGAACCACACTGTTTGGTCCATCGTCACTGCCACACCTGTCAGTACAGTGACTGTGACTTCCGGACACCAGAGTCATCAGATTCTCTAGCCAAGGATCTGAGTGTCAAAATGTGAGGCCCCAACCTGTGGAATTCGTCATGGACTCCATGAAGGCTAATGCCTCCCGACCTGACCTCAATTCAAGTTGCTTCTCAGAGGCCTTCCTGCAGGGTAGTAGGCGGCTCGGCAATAAAGCTCTTGAAAGCCCGACTTGGATACCCTAACAGTGTAGTCAGCCAATGTCACCATCCAGTGAGAGAGGCTGGGAGCAGTGAGTAGGGACACTTCTTGGCCCTTCCTGAAGACAAGTGTGATATGGACCCTCTCCAGGGGAGTCCTCCCTCCCAGGCCCCCACTCACTGATGAGAGCTGTCACGATCTCCTCCATGCTTTCCAGGAAGCTGCTGAGGTGTTGGGTGAAGGGCAGGTGTGGAGAGGTGACCTGAGCGACCACAGCCGCAGCCTCAGCCCGCGTGGCCTCTGAGTGGCTGTCATCTGTCAGGATGTTGGCCAAGCACAGGACACCATCCACCTGCAGATGGAGAGCAGGTTCAGCCTGTGTGTCCTGGGGAGCAGCACTGCTCATAATAGAAGTGAGATAGAGGCTGAAACCCTCCACAAGGCCAAGCCTTGTCCCGTTCCAGGACAGCCCAGGATGCAGTGTGGAAGTGGACAAGGACCCTTGAATGGTACCACACCTGGCATCCAAGGCCTGGCCCTTGGCCCAAGAAGAGATCAGTGACCACCCACAGGCTTCCTGATAGCAAGTGTCAAGCCAAGCAGTTAGGCGCTGGGCCTGGCCAGCCACCATAACTCATTGCAGTGGAAAGAACAGTCACCTGGAAATCTCACATCCCAGAGCCCACCTCCTGGCCCCTCTCATTTGTCTTCCACTTGGCTTGACTTCAGTCACTTAGCCTCTCTGAAACCATCTCTTCACTGCTGATAGTGTGCTGGGGGCTCAGAGATGAAGTATGTGATGCCCAAGTGCAAATGAGTGGGGCGGACTTGAAGAGAAGCTCCAAGAATGCTGGCACCCCCTTTCCTGAGCTGCAGGCTGAGCTCAACACCTTTGCTCCCCATCTGTCCCCCACACCTCTCCCCAGGGAGAGAGGGCTGCTCCCTAGAGTCTTGCTCTCTAGCCCCATAAGGAACAATCCTGGGTGCGGTGCCAAAAAATCCAGCTCCCAGGTCTACCCCAGGCTGACTGCCCACGATTAAGAGTAGCCCCTGCTCACCCAGTGCTTCTGAGGGGCCGGCGCCACCTTCAGGACAATGCATGTGTGGGACCACTGACCCCTCACAACCCAAGCACAGGCTTATCACCCCCACATTGTAGGACAAAGACATTGAGAGAGAAAGTTTTGTTGATGTGCCACACCACAACTTTATGAATAGTTTGGGATTTGAGCCCACTGTCCAGATTCAGGTCCATGGCTTGAAAAGGGCATCCTACTCGACCTGTGGAGATACACCTGCCCTCCGCCTCCACCCAAGGTCAGTAGCTGAGACCCACTGCAGAAAAGGGAGCTGTCAGTTATCAGCGGTAGCGCAGCGCTGCTCCTCAGCTGCCTCAGGATCAGACGGGCCTGAGGACCTGCCACCAAAGAGCCCTTGGCACGGAGTGTGGAGGGGTGCAGGGATGAGGCAGGGGAAGAACCAAAGTGGGGTGAAGTGAGGAGAAGCCCGTGCTAAGGCTCCCTGAACCTGCCAGGGCCCCCCACCCTTCCTTCCTGTCACTCAGCCCCAGCAGGCCCGAGGCTGCCTACTGTTTGACTAATCACCACCACCAAGCTCCGGGCCTCTCTTAAATGGCTCCTGGGAGCTGTAAGGTCCATTAGCTGTGAGAGCCTTTGGCAATTGCAGACTCAAGTAAGACAAATGTGGAAACAGGAGCTTGGGGAACTGTCCGCAATAAAACTCACCTGGATGTGCTTAATAAAAGAACAAACAGCAGCCAGGCAGCCCAGCAGGCCTGGCTTCACGCCAGCTGTTTGATGAACAGCCCCCTGGAGGGCGACCTTACTTGAACTGAGGAGAGAAGGGGGGTTGTTCTGGGCCCAGAAATAGGAATAACCCTCTCCCCAACTTAAGAAACCTCTGAGGCCTATCTGGGGTCCACCTCTACCTCCTCCCCGCACCATCCAAGGCTGTAACTAAGGGTCTCTGTCTACGGAGGGATGTTCTCAAGCACCCAGTCTCCCTAATCTCATCTTGATTGCAGGAGTTGCATCTCTGACCCAGCTGGGAACGCAGCTCCTAGAAGCACACTCACAGGTGGGCCTGTATGAGCACAGTGGGAGTTGAAAGTCCCCAAGGGTCTGGCCCCACCCAAGGCCTGGATGCCAAGCCTGTGCCCAGCCCAGACAGACAGCTGAGCATATTTCCCTCAACACGTACTGTCTGCCAGGCCTGCACACAGGTGAGCCAGAGCAGAGAGGCACATGTTCACACCCACACATACCAGCCATACAAGATGATCACCACTGAGGTTGCTCTGTGGAGAGGCCTCCAGGAAGCCATGTGCACTTAACAGTCTCACCCCACGTGGGACAAGTGTCCTCCCCAGAGCTCACCCCCAAACACGTCCAAGGTCCTCACAGCATGCATCACACTGAAGGACCCTTTCTCCAAGTGAGTTCTGAGGACCAGTTGTACCAATGGGACTTCCTTCAAGCACATTTCTGGGCCCCAACCAGATCTATTCAATCAGACTTCAGGGAAGCCTGGAATCTGCCTTTCAACCAAGCCCAGTCAATATCATGCACCAGCTGTAGGCAGAAGCTGTAATATCTCTGTCTCCTCCATTTCCTTGGGGGACGCTGCATGCCTAGGAACTTCAGTCTGTTCTCCAACGTTGTTCCAGGACTGGCGCATAGTAGGTTTTCAGTAAATGGAGCATAAGTGGAGAGAGTAACACTTGACCTAAGACTTGAGCGCAAGCCTGGACGAGCAGAGCAGAGTGGACTGAACCCGGATCGGCTTCCGTGAGCCACAGCCGCCGCAGGCAAGGGCAGAGCTGGAGAAACTGAGAGCCTGGATTCCGATTCCTCACCCCAGGAAAGTGACCCTCAACCCAGTCTGATGTGGACCCCCATCCGTCTCTGCCCTTCAGTTCCCAGGGAATGGTGTCTAGTCTGTGCAATCGCCGGCCGTCCGCTTGCCTTCTGGTGTGTTTCATAAGCTTCAGGTCTCTTTCAGTAATGTATTAAATATGAAAAATCGCTTCTTCCAGCAAGTATCTAAGTCATATATTACATATCATTGATCCATACCTCATCTATAATATAGAGAGAAAATTTACAAGCTATAAAAATGGTAAAATGAACACCTGCCTAGAGCATATAGGTACATGCTTAAAATGCAGACATTCTTCCATTGAGGAAAAAAGCCTCTCTACAATTCTTGACCTCACCTCTGTTTTCCTTGCTGGAAGAGCACTGTCCTGAATTTTGTGATTATCTATCTTAGTTTCTCTAGAAATTTAATGTATGTGGATATTGTCTACCTTTATAAGCTTTCAACTTGACATAAATGTCTTCACACTGTACATAACACACACACACCCCCATCAGCTTTATGCTCAGAAATATTCCCCTGCATTCGCACGTAGCCAAAGTTTATGTGTTTTCACTGCTGTGTGCTGTTTCATTGTCTAAGTCGACCGCAACCCACACAGGCATTCTCCCTTGGATAACATTGACGTCATTTCCCAGATCTTGCTAGAATATGCAGTGTTTCTATAAATATGCGTCTAAATATCCTGATGTGTGTGTGTCCATTTCTCTCGCGTTCTCTCTTTAGGAGTGAAGCTATTGCCTCTTCAGGTCTGCGCGTCTTTAATTTTACTAGTGAGGCCCAATCATTTTGCAAAACAATCGCACCAATTTATATTTGGGGCAGCAATATATAAATTCACTGAACTCCATCTTATCACAGGATAGGATGGTATTCACAGTTGGTATTCTCAGATGTTAGAGTTTTGCCCACTTGAATGTGTGGGTCCAAACTTTATTTTCATATTCATGCCTCCACAAACTCATGAAGCTAGGAACCTGTCTGTGTGTTTCTGTTTTGCTTTGATTAATGTTGATGCTGATTTCTGAATTTCCTCTTGAATAACTGCCTTTTTGTTGCTGTTCATTTTTCTTACTTGATTGTCATGTAAGCCCACTGCCAAAGTGTTTGCCTCTGATACTGCTGATCTGCCATGTGGGCCCCTGTCAGCCAGCTGCCTCAAACCCAGAGGCATCTCCACCTCTGCTCTTGCCACACCACCCAGTTCATCGCAGAAGGCAGGCCCAAAGTTTCCCTCACACACACACACACACAGCGGTGGACTCTGGGTCTTCAGCCCCTGGACCAATTCTTGTAGCGTGAGAACAGGGAACCCTCTAGGGATCTAATTGTCCTCTGTATCTTACCATCTAGACAATTTCTGTACCTACTTAAAGCCTTTACATATCTATAATGAGGGCTGACTATCAGGAGGGCATTGGTATTTTCAACTGAGAGGTTGCAGAGTGCACTCTGCGCCACATGGTGGTGCCATCATCCCACCTCATTTCCATCTGGAGGCTGCCATCAGCCCCAGCCACCGGCAGAGTCAGGTCTCCCCATTCTGTCTGCCTGGTTTTGGCTCCCAGAGGCGCTTCTCCTCATAGTTCCTTTCTCTGGGTCCTCTAGGCCTGAGACCCCACAGCAAACCTCAGTCCATTGGGTTGGGGCCATAAGGTTAACTAATTGTTTAGACATTCTCAGATCATACAGATCAGAACAGAACTTTTAAAGGGCCCTCCTTGGTGGTGCAGCATGTTAAAGCACAGCACTGAGAATCTGAAGCCACTTCCGCATGAGTTCGATCGCAGCCCCCACCCCCTCCGGAGGCGACCACTCCAGGCCCGCCCGCTGCTCCCCTCAGCAGTGTACTTCGTTGATCTGCACCCCCTCCGGAGGCGACCACTCCAGGCCCGCCCGCTGCTCCCCTCAGCAGTGTACTTCGTTGATCTGCCTGTTCCGCTCCCCACTCTGTCTCTGGTGAAGCCTCTCGCCACCCCTGAGCCTCTGGTCTGTACCCCAGTTCTGTATGTACAAATAAATAAATCTTAAAAAAAAAAAAATTGGGGAACTTGTGTGATGCAGAGCTCTGGCCCTCTGGCTCTCTGGGATACCTCCTCTCTGGCAACTCTCTCAGCCCACCCTCCTCCCTGGGCCTCACTCCACAGTGTAGGGCCACTGTCATCCCTAGCTAATAACTTCTTGTGAGTTTCTCCCTCATCCCCTTCTCCTCTCTGATCCCTCTCTGGTAGCTTGTTCCAAGGCTTGCTATCTGCTCACTTTGTACCATTTCAGTCACTAACACCCAAATCCAAGCGACCTCAGCACTCACTGTGATGACCCCCAAAACTAGTCCTCTACCCTTACCTGTTTCCCAGTACCATATCCACATCTCCAACCTGATACTAAATCTCTGTATGTTTAATTCTAAAACTAATTTGCCTGGCTATCCCACAGGCAGCTCAAACTCACTTC